AAAATATTCATTAAAGCAAAGTTATGTCTACTATTCTAGTTATGACTTTAAAAGTACAGTTTAGGGAGTATACTTCTTACCCTACCAGTGTAATCAGTGTCACTTAACAGTTGGCCTTACGTATCTCTTATTGTTTTAGCAACACAGTGCTTTCTGGGTAGGGACAGATATACACAGACACTGACACCCATTAATGCCATTGTAATTTCACTTTTAGTTTAGCATTGTGCTGTAATACTTGGATCTTATTAATATTCCTCAACAGGAGAAAATGTGTATTGATTATTATGGATTACAATCTGGTTTTTATATCCTTTAAAAAATAATTAAAATCCATTCAAATTTTATGCAATATGCATCTCTTCACAAAGAACCTCAAGAGCTTCATTACAGAAGTCTCAGCATTTCCCCATCATGTGTACATGTTAAAAATTTATTGAAGATTCTTACACTTGAACATGTTATTTCAAATATACAATCTTACTTTATGTGATAGCCTCACACAAAAGCTATTTAAAAATGAAAGTCTGCCATTCTTGTGCTTATTTACAAAATTTTAGAATTAGAAGATGTTGAAGAAAAAGAACATAAAAACCCTTTAGAGTGATAATGGTTTCACTTTGCATCAGAATTTCAACTAGCAAAAATCCTACTTACTAGTTGTCATCTGATAGAACTAGTCACTCTGATCTTTGTGTCTTTTGTTCTCCAATTCCTTACTCCAATCAGAAGGTGGAGTATGTAAGCATGCCAAAAGGTTTAGATCTGCTCATTAGTATGAGTATTAGTTACACAGGATGTACCATTTTCCTTCTCCATCATCTCTGATTTTGATGCTCTCCTTTGGTTTGAATCTAAATTGTTTCAAATCTTTTCGTCTTGTAGTTCATGAGTTTAACTTTTGAAAAGCTTATTTGAAATGCAGAGTTACAGAGAGGAGAAGAGGCAGAGAATCATCCATTGGTTCACTCCCCAAATGGCCTCAACAGCTGGGAGCTTAGACTTTCTTCTGGGTCTCCCATGTCGGAGCAGGATCCCAAGCACTTGAGCCATCTTCTGCTGCTTTAGCAGGGAGCTAGATTGGAAGTGGAACAACTGGAATTTGAACCTGTGCCCATACAGGATGCTAGAGCCACAAGTGGGGGCCTGGCATGCTACTCCACAATGCCAGCCCCAACGCTTATCTTTTTAACAATCCGCATTCTTACAGAGTTTTAACCAACATTACTAATCAATTATAATTTGACATAATTTAATAACTCAAAAAATTATTTTGGATCACTTTTTGACATGTAGAGCCTTGTAAATTTTTTAAAGATTTAGTTTTTTTTAATTGCAAAGTCAGATATATAGAGAGAGGAAGAGAGACAGAGAGGAAGATTTTCAGTCTAATGATTGACTCCCAAAGTGACAGCAATGGCAGGAGCTGCGCTGACCCTACCAGGAACCAGGAGCCTCTTCTGGGTCTCCCACACAGATGCAGGGTCCCAAGCCTTTGAGCCATCCTCAACTGCTTTCCTCAAGCAGGGAGCTGGATGGGAACCAGGACCCATATGGGATCCCAGTGTGTTCAAGGTGAGGACTTTAGCTACTAGCCCACAGTGCTGGCATGAGCCTTACAAATTTAACAAAGAAACATGTAACAAGGCTAGAGCTATGATATAGCAGGGAAAGCCACCGCCCTTTAGAGGCAATATCTTCTGTGGGTATCAGTTCAAGTCCCAGCTGCTCCATTTCTATCCAGCTCCCTGCTAACGTGTGTGGGAAAACCATGGAGGCCCCTGCACAAATATGGAAGACTCGTAGGAAACTCTTGGCTTTCGTCTGACCCTGTTCCAATCATGTGGCCAATTCAGGAGTGAACCAACAGGCTAAAGATCTCTCTCTCTCTCTCTCTCTCTCTCTGCAACTGCTTCTTTCTGTTAACTCTGCTTTTAAATAAATAAAATCTCTTTTAGAAAAAGACACAAGTAACATTAATTAGAAAACAATGTTTAGGAACCACTTTTTAAAATTTTGAATTCTAACTTTGACAGTTCTCTATGTTAAGCTTTGTGAAAGGTTAGCAATTCCAACATACTAGCAATTCTGAGCTGTGTTGAAATTGTTCAACAAAACACTTTCCACTGAATATTTGTTATGAGAAGTTCAAGCATAGTTGTTGTCAATTAGGGCATTTTTTCTAGTTTCGACTAAAGAAAGAACAATTTAATAATTTAGCATTCTTCAGTGCAGAAGATGTCCCAATTGTTCAAATTGTTAGGTCAAACAGAACCATTTCTATGCCTCATTATTATTGCCTTTGAGGTGCATACTGAGACCGAAAAGTTGGCATGAAATACATGGACTTAATTCCAGATATTTCACATTTTGAGAGGTTTGATTAGATATAAACTGTATTATCAGTTGCCTCTTCAACTGTTTTGCTAAGAAACAATTTACTAAGAAACAATTTTCAAATAATGTACTATGAATCAACATTCTTTTCTGTCATAAAATGTTGTTAAAAATATCAGGTAGGAGATACAAAAACATCAACATCCTCAAAGTGACCACATTAGTAGGAACATTGTTAGCGCTGGATGGAACTAAGGATGCCTTCGGTCAGCCTCCAGCTGCAACTTGACGTGCCCAGTGACTCCCCTAAGACACTGGGCAGCACGCCATGCTGAGTCTCTAGTTAAACCTAATGTAGTTAGTATAAAACAATGTGAATGTGCTCATTTTTATAGTCACTGGCATGTGAAACTTTCTTAACAGCACTTTTATTTTTTCGCAGAAAAGCCCAGAAACCACGTACATTTTAAATATAGCGGGCCTGGAGCAGGGGCTGAGCTAGCTAATCCTCTCCCTTTCAAGCTCCAAGATCTCATAAGAGTGCTGGTTCATGTCCTGGCTACGCTACATCCATCCAGCTCCCTGCTTGTGGCCTGGGAAAGCACTGAGGAAGATCTGAAACTTCGTACCCTGTACCCACGTGGGAGACCTGGAAAAGGCTCTTGGCTCCTGGCTTCAGATCAATTCAGCTCCTGCCATTGTGGCCAACTGGGGAGCAAATTAGAGGACAGAAGATCTTTCTTCCCTTCTCTCTTTCAAATTAAAATAACTAGATCTTAAGAAAAAAATGCAAAGGGTCTGCTACAATATCGGTTTTCAAAAGTGTTCTTTGATTTATCCAACAAACTGTCTTACATTCTAGAATGTGTGGAAATATTCTAAGAATAAAACATTCTCAAAACTATGCCATGGGAATTTCCTAAATGGAACTAGAATATGTGTTGCATGGCCTTCATTTCCTATGAGGAGGTACCACTCCCCAGCCTCACCAGATTCTTGTCTTAATGATGGAACAGATGCCAAAACTCATCTATGCTTCTTGGTTATGCATTGCCCTTCACTTTAAAGTATAAAATACATATAACGCTTCTTTCTTGTGCTTAAGCATCCAATTTTCCAGGAGCCGGAAAACACTAAGAAGCTCCCCAAAGTAATATAATAACTACAGAATCCACTGAAAGTTCAGCAAAATACAACATATGATTAAAGAAAGAAGTTCCAACATTTATAACTATATTTTTTTCCTTAAATTTCAAAAATGTGTGTGATATGATTAATCAATCTATCTTAATTAAGCCCACTTTTGGGCATATGCAATGGCCACTGCTATTTAAATAATAAAGCTAAGTGCATAGAAACACAGGTCTTATGTCCCATAAGGATTTATGCTAAAAGCAAACGTGGAATAATTTATTATTTAAATAGTTGGAATAAAATTCAAGGGAATTACAACCAAACCATTCCTTTCTCTAACAACCTGAAATATGAGGTTTTTGACCTTCTTATTATCGTGAAAAGTCATTATAGATGGCAGATGCCGTTTCCTAGTCAATGGAGGGTCTCAACTTTTACTCTGCATATCATTGGGAAGGAAATACAAATTTTTAAAATAGAATTAACTCGGGGAAAGGCATCAGTGCTGCAACTTAGCACCAAATGTTTTTTCTTGGAGCACCAAATGCTTTAAGGAAAACATTCCAAGTATCAAAGTTTTCAGATAGATAAATATTTATGGATCAAATCCATAAAGAACAGACATTGTTATGAAATATATATAGATGCCTTCAAAACTTTCTTTCTAGGCAGAGTAGGCACATAAGTTAGGAGTCATTTCCCACTTAATTGTTTTTGCAACCTTATGCAACACAAATGGATTATGGATAAGACTTCCTCCTTTAGGCACAGAAAGATCTTGACTGACATCATGTCCAGGAAATTAAGCTGAAGCTTTTTCTCTAAAGGAAATTTAGATAAGTGGCTCGATTCTAACCTATGTTACTGGATTCGAGGTGTAGGGATCTTTTTAATCTAAACCTTTGTTAAGAAAATATAGCTCCTTAAATACAGCTCCTTCTCATCCGTTAGTCAATCAGAAAAAAAAGCACATCACACAACCGGTTTTTATCATTAAGGACAAAGAAATTCCATCTGTCTTTGAACTTGATGATTTTTCCAGCCTACATACAGACTGCTGACCCTCCCTCTCCAGTGACAGATTGTCATGGTACTTGTGGCACAATCTCCTGCAACCCACTTTGTCACTTAGAGACAGAGCGGTTGGTTCACACTGTACACGCAGAGAGACGCTACCTAATACTACAGAACTTTTAAGTAACTATCAAGAAAATGTGGCTGCAATTTCTACAAGTAACATCCTCAACGTTGTTAAAATATCCTCTCTGGGTGCAAAGAGAGCAGAAGCATCCATTTAAGAAAGCAGCAAAAAGTCCAGTTCCAGATGCAAATGCCAAACAAAGATCTGTGAGAGGTTGTTGCAGAAGTCGTTGGGTGTGCTCTGTGAGGCTTCAACATTATACTCCCAAGCATGGATTCTGGCAACAGTATCATCCATGAACATGAGGGTCATCTTGGAAAATAAATAGCCGGACAATTCTATATTCAACCAAAGAAGATACGAGCTTTAAAGGACATGATAACACAGGCATGGGTAAAAACTTTATTTATGAATAAGTGGACACATGACTTTGGATCCAGCCAGCCAGTGACATAAATAAACTTGAGCAAAGGATTCAAGCTAGAGGATACAAATATATACACAGACATACATCCATATATATGCAAATGCGTATGTATGTATACATATTTGCGTGTGCGTGTAAGGCTTCTTGGAGCAGTGCCACAAACCTGAACACTCTCCCAACAGAATCACTCCCATCCTTTGAAATTTCCATGAAGTGCACAACGGGGGTGATTACACCAGGATGCTCCAAATCACTCTTTCCATCTTGTGCACTCACATGCCCGCCAAACATGAAATGCTCGCCTTCTCTCTTCACATGTGATGGTTGTTGAACTTATTTTTAGTGTCATTTGATGAGCCTTTGCGCTCGCAGAGAGACATCCCACTGACCCGGCCACTGGTCATTGTCTATACCAGTTCCCATCAAAGCAGGCGCGCTTTGTCAGGTTTCGAGTCGAATATCCATTTCGCTTCTGAAGTAAAGTATCGAAAGTGACTAGATCGTTGGAGCTTTTTTCCTCAGCTGCTGACTCCCTCCTCCCCCCCGCCCCCAGCGTTTGTGCTCACGCTAACATAACTTGGCATCGTCGACGTGACACGATGGTGGTTTTCCTGAAACATTATAATGCCTACGCTGCCCACATTTCATGATGGCAACTCTCCTGAAATTGTAATTTACAGATCGAAGCAAGGAGGCCTTTTCCCTCTATGGAATCCTCACCAAGGAAGAGCACTCCTCAACATCCGAGTCATGCGCATACAGTAATAGGTCATTCAATGTCAAAAGGCATAAAAAAAAAAAGATGAGCAAAATCTTCACAGGCTGCTGCTTGCTGTTGCCTTTAATTATATTAATTAAACTTTGAAATTTTCATGCAAAGAGAGTTGCTGGCTTGTGACACCCAAGAGCCCTTGGAGACCTGAAGCAAGGAATGAACCCTGAGTGGGAGTTTCATGGTTGTGGCTTCCTTGAAACGAAAAGCCAAACAAACTCCCAGGTATGTTTACTATGAATGCTTTATGCGCTACTAAATCCTAAACACAGGAAAAGAGGGAAATCTACCGGTCACTGGGACTAACTCTCAAAGCACGAGGCCCCGAGTCTCCCTTTCAGATCTCTGGTTACAGGCTGTCTTCCCGTGGAATAACGCTCCATTAGTTTCATGTCCCGAGTGCATAATGAAAGAAAGGTGTCTTCAAAAAAACGAAAGGGCGAAATCTTGCTTGCTACCCATACCTTGAGGCATCTTGTCTACATTTTATCTTGCGTGTGCACTTTTCAGTGTTAGAATGACAAGATTTTCCAGTCGGAAACTTCCCGCAAGGCACACAGTGATAGGGGACTTGGGAGGAGTTTGTGATCTGACATGGCTATAAGGCAATGGACTCCATAATTTGCTTATCCTGGTTGGAAATTTCACACTCTGCCTATGGCTAAAGATCTTGAATTATACAAACACAAGTGCCCTGAAGAAAACCCCTGTCTCCATGAACGACCCATCACGGCTACTTGCTCTATGCTGGTGGCTTTGGTAGCATCTTCATGCTGTCCTTGCTGCTGCTGCTTTGCCTCATTGACACATGCATACTTCCTTGCATAAACCCTCCTCTCTACTTTCAATGCCATGGCTCTTCAGTTACAACTGAGCTTCATCACCTCCTGCGTAGATGGCAGGACAAGTGGGTGGAAACGTTTGGTGCAAGCAAAGCAGAAGGCAGGGAAAACATTTCCTGACTGGAAGGAGTTAAGCTGCTCTTCTCCAAAGCTTCTGGAAGGCACTTGACTAGTTTCATTTGGTTGGAAATCAGCAGTGTGAACATGTGCCATCTTCGTACCCTCTTAGTCTTCGTACTTCTCAGTTACTGAGATGGAACTCGAGAGAAGTTTATGCACCGGCCCTGAGGAGAGAAAGAGATCCATATTGAAATACTAAAGCACTAATGTGCAGCAAAATATCTACTGTTCCAATGATCATACCAAGGAAAGGACAAACTTCCTGTAAGGCATGAAATGGCACAGTTTGTTTTTCCTTTGCGTTAAATTCACTCAGACCTTTCCCACAGTAAATTGACCTGTTAATGGTAAGGTAGAAAACATTACAGAAACACAAATTCATTTTGCTATTGAGAGCATCGAACTATCACAGTGATAAAAATACAAAAGCTATACTCTTCCATACTTATTTCTATAAGGGATTAAAATGAAACATGTGCGTGCATGAGCGAGCTACTCCTAAAACATGTATATGAGGAGTGTATTTAAGAAGTAGCTAATGAGAGACGAAAGACAAAGGGTCAGGACATGTAGAAGAGCAACGAGCTCTGTGATCCTATTTCCAGAAAGGAATCTGCAGGAGACAGTCAGGCCCAGAGTTTTTGACTATGCATAACTGGAACCTGGCACTGCTAATTTCCAAAGATAACTTGTCTTTCCAATTTCTTGTCAGTGGCACTTGCTGTGGACACATTCTCCCACACATGGTTTAAATACTGTGAAACTTACATGAGACCAAAATCTCCAGTGAGTGTCTTGCTACTTCTTGGTGTAACGCTTTCCTTGGATTACTACTGCTGATCGTTTCCAACATGAATTACAGGTTCCTCAATTGGCCCAAAATTTGCATTTTTGCCCTCTAGTTTAGGCTCAGGATGATAATCCTAACTGGGGTTTTTCTTGTAATTCTTGCATCTTCTCAACTTATTTTAGACCTAAAAGTTTGACTCTGCCCCCCCCCCATGTGAATAGCAAACTTGTTTAAATATCACAATACGGAACATTTTTAAAAAAAGGAATGAATATTGTTGAAGAAGGAACCTTGGAGCCTATCAGCAGAACTTTGTTTATTTTCCTTTCAAGAATGATTGCTCAACACATTTTGGAATTTGGAAAACAATGAAGAAATAAAATCTTAAGGGAAATAAATGTAAGATTTTCCAATGGTTATTGCATAAAGTCAAACATGGGACAAATTATCTTTCTTCTAAACACTTTTAGAGGCAGCATTATTACAATCAGTGCCAATTTCACGACTGACTTTGCATCTGATATCCTTTAAGAAAAATCGATGCAAAAGGAAGTTGGATTTTTAAGCAGAGAGCACACACTATAATGAAGTCAAATGTGCAAAATTACAGTGATCACTGGTCATGCACTGAGGTACCACGGATGTTCAAACACGATTTTTAGAATGACAACTATCCCACATTGTTCTTATGTGTGGAAATTAATACAGAGAGATTATAAAATTGTGAGGATATTATAATAAATGCTGTATGGTTATAAATCGTCACTCACTGATTCATGCCATGTACATGACAATATACGTCTTTTCCTATGTTATGATTTTTGTCGTGAATCTCTCATTTTGTGACATTATGTTTTCAAGAAAAAATCATATATACACATATGCTTATAATATCTATATATATATATAGTGACTTTGGTAAAAAGTTAAAAATTGTTAAATTTTAAATGTAAAACATCAATTTTTGTTGAAAATCAAAAAATAAAAGGATGCAGATGAAGTGAAGAGTCTTTTGTAGATGCAGTTCAGGGAACTAGCTGCATCCCTCATGGCAGGACATTCAAACTCAGTTCCACAATGCATCCCTTTTGTGAAGAATTTTTTTTTTTCAACAGAAACATGTAGGAAATGACATCATTAGGAGTATTTTAGCAAAATAATAAGTCAATCTGTGTAAGCCGGAATAATATAACCATATACTAAGGAACTTCAAGAAATTCACAGGAAAAATAGAGAAAAGGGTTATTTTCATGGGCCTGGCACAGTAGCCTAATGGCTGAAGTCCTCGCCTTTTATGCATTAGGATCCCATATGGGTACTGGCTCATGTCTTCCTGCCCCAATTCTGGTCCAGCTCCCTTCCTGTGGCTAGGAACAGTAGGGGACATCCCAAAGCCTTGGAACCCTGTATCCCTGTGGGAGACCCAGAAGAAACTCCTGGCTCCTGGCTCCAGATTGGCTTAACTCTGGTCACTGTGGCCACATGGGGAGTGAATCAGCTGATGGAAGATCTTTTTCCCTGTTTCTCCTTCTCTCTGTAAATCTTTCCAACAAGAAAATAAACAAATCTTTTGGAAAAAAAAAGTTTACTTCATGTAAAATTGTAAATGCATGCAGCTTTTCATGTTATGAATATTCATGAAGTGTTTATAGATCAACTATGAGCATGAATTTCAAATGTTGTGCACTAAAATAAACTCGTCTTCTAATTCTACTTCCTGTGAACTTTTATAAGCATACGTGCATGTAACAAGCAATAGTTTTGAGCTACATGTATTAAACAGTGAGGGACATTAAAAACTATCACCATATGGCAATTTTCCAAAATCAAACAAACATGAGGAAGAACATTTTGAAGAGCAAAGACAAAACTTAATGACATTTTTCTGTGTGTATTCATAGACTGCTCAGTTACAGGAAGAACTGATCATGTCTCTTCACATTTACTTGAGTTTCATCACTAATGAATCGGATTTAGAGATTAGGTTGCTTCTTTGATCACTTCTGTTCTACATACTACATCAGTCATGGTGACTATAATTACTTCAAGCAACTGGATAGCTTAGCAACTGAGATATAGAATTCGTCCAAATTCTCCTCCATTCCGAAATTATGTCCTACTTTCTCTGGTGAGTTTTTATTAAAAACATAGGAACATGAATGAAGAAATAATACTGATTTTGACTTTTAGTTCTATATTACAATACTTCTAATGCTTGTAATTATGTATTAATTATAAACTGCCAAATGTGCAATTTAGTAAAAAAAAAAAATAAAAAACTTTTAAAACACTCATGTTTTAACACATCTGGTTACTGACAGCAAAAATCACCAACTGTTCCTTTGTTCTTCATCAACAGCTGTTAAGATCTGGGTGTGTTTTTCTTTGAGAAAAATTCAAAACTTGATAGCTTGGAGGGTATTTGCTTAGGAGTTACTTTGATTTTGATGAAAATAATACAAATGTTAATTTTCTAAAAGTTAAAATTTTCTAAAACTTAGCAGAGTTTAGAAATTATCCAACATAACCCAAATTTATAGAAATATATAAAGGCAAAAATAGAAAAGGGATCTAAAAATCTCATGAAAATACCCATTATCTTTCTATCACATTTTCCCTTGAGTATTTTTAAGCTCCCCATACTTACATGATTTTAAATTTTATTTTCTATATCAAGATTAACAGTGGTAGATTTTAATAGTGTAAAATTGTAACTACTAAAATGGAGAAACACAAAATTTCTGTTAATAAAAGTTCAGGTTTGTGTATAATGTTGTCCTTACATATTACTTCACAAAATAACTCAAGAAATTTGCACCCAAGCAGTAGTAAGAGTCAACGGAATAATATATCTCCACTTGCAAATATTTACTGTAATATTTTTCCCAAAGATTTTCTGGACATAAAATTGGACTCTAGTCACACACAGAGATGTTAGATTCACTCTAAGAATATTACGAGGATGTTTTCAGGAACATTCATGCAGTCAGGCATCCAAGCAATCAATCCCACCAGGAAATCAAGGGAACTAATTCAGTATCAAGACTCATGATCGCTGAGTGTGCTTAACTCTAGGACTGCATGTGCATGGCAAAGGAAAACTTGCTAACAAATCCTACAATCTGTATTTAGTATATTCTGAAAAATGCATATTCTTTTAAATTTTATAAAGTACAGTCAATTTCACTTTACAGAACAAAATTCTTGGAGTTTCAGAAAATGAGTTTACTAGCATTTGTCAAGGATAAGCTTGGTAAATGTATTTACATACACCTGCAAGTACATGACAAGCCACTTCATGCTCCGCGCCTGCTGAAGTTCATTATATTTAAATACAAACACACATAAAGGGAGCTCTTTAATTTTCTTTCCAATCAATCCTTCTCGTTCTGTATCTAGCAGCTTGGGAATACATTTCTCTTTTCAATTAACGACATAAAATATTCATACCACAGGAACCTATCAATGATGACTTTGACTTTCTCCATATAAACTGTCAGAACAAAATTTGAGAAACAAGTTCTGAATCAAGTGTTAACCTTTAATTTACGTAGGTCAGTGGTTTCTACATACTGTACCTGTGATTATACAGGTGCCTCCAAAGCCACTGGAATCACAGTGGTGTACGAAGAGGGACAAAGCAGGTATAACTGGCCAGCTTCTCAAACCTAATTCCACCCTAAAAAGCTCAAGTTCTGTGATCTAATAAAAACTAAAATTCGGTGCTGTATAATGTTTTGTTTCCCCAAAAAACATTCAATGTGTTAACTCTTATTTCAGACATTTTCATGCCTACTTTAAGTCAGATCATCATTAAACTATCTGTACATGTAGACTTGGTTTCTTCTCTTTAGAAACGCCTTCACAGACCTGTGACAATATCCTTTCTTGTCTTTCTGTCATTAGAGGGCTCATAGGAATGTTGGTCACATAAAAAGAAATCTTCAGTTTTGGAATATTGCAATTGAACAAACAGATATTAAAGGATCAATTATCCTCAGAATTTAAAGCTGGGACAAAAAGCTTAAGGTGGTAAACACACATATTTCTCTTTTCCTTATGTAATGCCAACTATCATCTACACTGCCAACTGTCTATCTCAATCTGTTTCTCTTTATACCTTGGCTCTCAGGAAACTGATTGGACGTTCTAAAAGCATTGCCTACTCTTGATATATGCTTTCTCTTTTGGCATTATCTTTAGTTTGGCCCATGGGTATTTCTCTTTTTATTCTTCTGAACTTTTAGTATGAGGTTTCCTTTTCTCAGTACTTCCTTAGAAGTAGAGCAGGTATCACAAAGTTAAAGAACATTAAACTGAAGTTAAGACAAGCAAGTTGGTTAGAACTATTCTATTATTCATGTAAATTCAAAA